ACCAGACAAGAATTTCATTTGTGTTTCAGAAATCTCAGGGATGTTGGCGTGCATGCTATTGGGCCCTGAACGGTGCTGATTTTACACTGTTTTCAATGGGGCTTGAATTAGTGGACTGGACCCCTCAAGTACGTACATGGACTATGCCCAAAATCCGGACATCTCATTTTTGGCCACTGCCAAACTCGCATGGAAATTTGAATCCGCATGAAAAACCAAATCCATTTCAAACAAATGGCTCTCGATCTTGAAAAAAATTAACTGATAGATATAAAACAATTATCAGTCTTCCAGACAGTATCACCGGTGATCTGAGGGAAATTCGACAAAAGTGTGAAAAATGGACACAAAGCTATAGGTAAAAATACAATAATTTTTCGTAACTATACTTTGTCAAAGAAAATTGACATTTTCCACTTTCTTTTTTAAAGTCGGATGCTTTCGGAATTTGGATGCGTTTTAAAGTCGGATGCTTTCGAAATTCGGATGGTTTCTGAATTCAGATGAAATGCCGGTGCAGAACGCGAAACCTTCGGCTGTTTATTGTCGAGGGAAATGCACTCGAATCTGGAAAACGTCAGGTCTGTCAAATTTCATTCGGATTTCGAAAACATGTCAGGTCTGAAAAATTTCATTCAATTCTTCAAAACATGTCAGGTTTACAAAATTTTATTCAAATCTAAAAAACATGTTGGGTCAAAAAAATTTCATTTGAATCTTAATATTACAATGTGGGGTCCAAAAAAATTTATTCGTATCTTAAAAACATGTCAGGTCTACAAAATTTTATTCGAATCTGCATCCTTAAAAGTTTGTGCACTGAGCTATAAGAAATTGAATATTCATGCCTTTTGTTGGTGCTTGGTATGATCCCATGACATCAAATTTAATACTTGCGCAGTTGCTTGCATTACGCTGTGTGACCTAAATCTGTATGTGCAGTCATTGCCCTTCATGAACTCTTTTTTTCTGGAGTTATTTTGGGAATAAATAGCCCTGTTGTTTACAAGCTTTATTGTTTTGTTTGAACCATTTTTATTATGGCGTTTGTACAAAAGCGTATTTTATGAGATTTCACGATCACTCTCTGTGATGAAATAACGCATTTTGTTCCCAATGAACTAAGCTTTCCAGTTGTAGTGAACATTTTGTTGGCCAGTCTTAGCCAAATTTGTACCAAGTCTTTGATCACTGATGTATTGGACAGAGGAGAATAAAAGTACAAGCTTTGCATGGATAATGGAACAGTGTATCAAAATTTAAAAAGTTTAGTTACGATGGCAAAAGTTGGTCTAATATCAGGAATTTTTCTCACTCTATTTCCTGGTCATATCGATAATTTGTATTTAACTGCAAGCAAAAACTACAAGTATTGCTCGGATATTACTGGCCCCGCTTGTCCGACCAAGATGAAGGCAGTGTCAGGCATTTTTGGAATGTTTTCTATTATTCGTCTGACAAGGCAGCGACCATCACTGAACACTTGGAAGTGCCTGAGTTGCAACTCCTTCTGTATCCTTCCTCTATGGTTTACACTATCTTTAGATGATGAGGAAATATTGTAACACTGCATAAGGTATCAGTAATAATGAACTGCAGTCTACCTAACGGGGGGATGCATATCAGATCATAAGACACATTATGACTTAGCAGTAAAACAAAAGCTATATATATCCAATCATGCGAAAATGCAAAAACGGGGAAATGGAAACCGAACACACAACTATGACATCCAAACTGAACCCCCAAAATACCAACAAATAATTAATATTTAATTTCAGCAAGTATTAATTGTCTTTTGACCTCAACAACTCAACAATGAAGTACAGTAAGCACCAGAATAATGAACAATGCAAAGCCCGTCTCCAGTCATGTTGGATAGTGTTTTTAGCAATTTGTAAGCACACGGCACACTTCAAGTATGTTTTTGTGACATGTACTCACTTCTTCAGTCACCTTACTAGTCTTCCTAACCCAGGGGATCTAGTAGGTAAATAATCAAACAGCGAATAATTTTGTCCATAAATCAATACTGTATATGGAGTCAAAAGTTCTAAAATTTTTCAGATTATCTTTTAATAAATCCAATTTTTTTGTTTGAGGTACATGTAGCTACGGAATGAATTCTCGTGGTTCTAAAGAATGCTTCTTGAACGCTACGCCCTGAAAAGTCGTCGAAATTAAAATCTTTATATATACTGTTAATGGTTCAAAAACCTCAATTTTCTGCATTCTACCTAAAAGCAACACCCCTTTCAGTAAACCTGGCACTAGAATATCTGTTGTGTAGATACTACACGAATAAAAGAGAAAATCCATCAGAGCAAATCTGTATACCAGTAAGAGTTACAAAGATTCCGGCGATGTATGCACTTGGAAAGTTGTTGATGCTGGGTGTTTTACGGTCTGACCATCACAGTACAAAAATGAATGGTCTGGCGCAATTTCAGTGTCAAATGAAAAAAAAATACTTAGAAAACATGGAATACAAAATGAAATGATTTGGAAGTTGTTGCCCATTGAAAATGGGACACTAAAATACTTTCACTTTCTTACTTAATATTACATCTCAAAATATTTCAGGGTAACCTCACATTGTAATATCAACGGTCAGCACCAAGAAGTGGAATTTACCATGCCGCAGGTTAACACAAACCTGTATCTTATCCAAGCAGCTATTGTCAAAAAACGTACTGAAACATATGTATACATACGTTATACTTAGTGTGGACATTTCTTTGTTTTCGTGCAATTACGAAAACTCAGTTAAAACACTCATTTTCTTGAACTGGGAACACATTTTTTAACTGGATTTCGTTAGATGTTTCCTTGACTGTTCCTCTTTCTTTTGCGACAGATGACTCTAACCCCCAAAAGCCTCAAAACTTCTTTTTTAGAGAAAGGGAAACGTCCTGTGGACATGGGTAAGTCCACAGAATGCCTTGCCTTCTAGCACCGCGTAGACATGTTGTTCGCAAGTCCACACTAGGTAAAAGGTAAGCGTACAAAATATAAATGGTGCTTGACTGGCGTGTTACTTCCAATCACATTGAACTCAAATGCAGACTCATTACTGCTCTTGTCAATCTAAAACTAAAACATTCCACACGGAACAACTATAATCCTCATTTATTAGAGAAACACTTAAATTAAATATTGCCACTGATTTGTCCCAAAATAATCGATTTCTTAAGGCAAAGTACTCCGTACCAATAAATTTACAGGTACATGTACTATTGTGTTTTGCAGCCTGAACATAATTATTTAAGTTCCAGCGCTAAAAAAAAAAAAACGAGCTTTTGATTTCAGAAGTGGGAGTGGTAGAAAGAGAAAATAGGCTAAGCCTTCTTAGCTTTAAAGAAAGCCTTCAAACACCACCATTAGTCCAGTCAGTAAATTAATCCCTGGCGTTTTCTATGCTAGCATCCGCCAGAAATCCGAAGTTAGATCGTTAATTGCCACTCACTTGTAGCAAAGGTCCATATATGCCTACATGTGAAAATCCTCATCATTCTATTTTAACTAAGAACAAAAGTCTTTCTTTTGAACAAACCACAGGTGAATCCGTTGTGTAATAAGTCTTAAGTCACTCCAGCTACAATGTGAATGTGGTGACGGACTAGTGGGGCAACTAAACACTTACATTTTAACCTGAACTCAACGGGAATATCCTTATTTTTTTCCTTAATTATGAATCATCACATGAACATCAGTGTAAACACCACTAAATGCAAAAAGTTCCCATCAATAGTGCCTGGAAGTTTTAGAACGTCACCAAAGTTCACATTTCCCCATTTCATGATAATTTCATCACTCCAAAAACAAGCCCAGGAAAACAAATGCCGACCACTTGCGATGCAAAGTATTTCTTAACTACCTTTGACTCTAAAGTAAGGATCCGACAGGTCAAAGCAACTTACTGTGGGAAAAGTTATTCATGTTTTATAAAATGTTCACGAAAACCCTGGGAAGAGGCAAGGTGTGAAGAGAACTTCCCACTCCCAGGTAAATTTTCAATCACAATGTTTGTACATCAGCATCGTGGTAGTGTACTCGTATAAATCTTGCTGTCAGGAGATAAAAATTCAAAATCAAGTCAGTACAAAAGATAATTTTTCATTACTAACAATTGAAACCTTAACTTGCGAACTATTAGTCAGTAAAATTATCAGCATTTCACTAGTTTCATATGAGATCATATTTGGTCTTATCTTCATATAACTTAATTTATATGTGCATGTTTTGTTCCCTTCATATTTGTGATGTACATGTTCATTGTACACGTGATGTGCATGTTCTTGTTCACAGTTCTTAATACCTTCAATAGCATCACATTGAAGTGGATCTGACACACAATACATTTCCCGTACGGAACAATCTTATCAAGATGTGCATGTGACCACCAAACTTGACCTTAGATTCATGAAACTGAACTAACCCTAATTGAATGATTCAAATACGGGCGATTCATAATAGCGTGCCTCCAAGAGTTTGCAACACGTTGGCCCATTACGATGCGCGAAATCTGTCGACCCAATGCGCTTCTGAAAAGGGCCGACAGATTTCGTGCATCGTGATTGGCCAACACATTATAATGTACAACGTATCCATACAAAATAATTCATGGGTTCCTTTTTTATACAATTTTCCTCATATGCGACATTCTTGGTAACAGCAACTCTTGTCAAGTCAAGAAATATCAAATATGGAAATTTATGGCATCCGGTAGTGCCAATATTAACTTACAATGGTCCCTCTCAAACCATCCAGTCTAAAGTCAACTCTGCAGCTATTCAAATGTTTGCCCTGTTATAGTGACTGGCCTTATCCAAATACTTGTGAAAGGACTTGTGAAGGACTCGACAACACCGTGAGTGATGTAATGTTCACATGGACACAGGTCCAGGCCCTGAGAACTCTTACTATGAATCAACGTTTAGGTTTATCAATAACATTTACGTCTCCCTGAGGCTTCCTGAAGGCTGTTGGCTGGGAAAGACTTCATGGAATGTTCACTCACTGAGTGTGACTTATAGGTCCTCAGTGTTTTCAACCAAGTTGCAAACTCCACATGCTAATATTGGAGAGTATATTTTCTACACAACAGAAGTGACAAATGAGTCATTCCATTACCGACCTCACTGTTATTCAAAATTTGCAAACAAAGGAAAGGGGAAAAATGGATGTGAAAATATAAAACAATGCAACAACCTGATATTTTCAGTTTCTTTGTTTAGAAAACCTCTCTTTATGAATCCTAAGGAATGCTGAGCTCGGTAATGTAATAACAAGTTTTCAATTTGGCGTGGATTTGTCCAGATGTGCTTCTGCATAGCAAACGAACTCCAACAATACCATAGACGTTGTTTGCCCCTTTGTGAAAACAATGACAATATAAACACCTGAATACAATATTACTGGCCATTACAATAGTTATTTGTTTCAAGTTTTTGGCTCTGAGCTTCCTGAGGGCAGCATTTTTGGCTTCGCAAACACACTGTGTGATATTTTCTCCCTTAACCCTGATTCCCTGAGCAAATTTTCACTTAAAACCTTCCATAATCTTCCAAAAGTCTCCCATTATGCAACCAGAGGGCACATGTTTGGTTCTGAAACCTGTAAACACACCAGTGCCCTCTTGGTGTAGTGTGCTGAGAGAAATACGCAGAATCTTACTAACTTCAGCACGCCTTAGATGAAGGAGCCCCAACTCACATGAGTATCAGTCCACTGCCTGGTCTATTTTGAGTTGAATTCCTGGCCTATGCGCAATGGCATAGTTTTACCAAGAGAAGGCATTGAACACAGAGAATCTGAATCCTAAACACAGTCCAGTCCATTTGCTCAACTTTCCCTGAAAATCTTGGGGAATCTTTATTCTGTCCCCGCACTACTGGGTCTGCGCGGATTGATTCAAGTAGGCATAGCACTGTATGCGTACTGCACGTATGCATAAGAGAGTGCTCCTGAGCACCGTACATGTGCATGATACGCATGCGCATAGCAGCATGCATATTCTATGTTCACGTTATCAACCCTGGATCTGCAGTGTTCACAGGAATAATTTTTCTGGATTTCATTTATTTGGTTTCTTGAGTTGGGCTCCACCTGTTCCATGCCCCCACACAGAAAGGATAAAATAGCTATCAAAATCTGTACTATGTGAGTAACTGTACCTGGACTCTTCTCCATCTTGTAAACTCTTTTAAAAGAATCGTGGTGGATTTTGAAAGATCAGGGAAGGTTAGAAGTATACACATTTTGCAGATCCTATCATACTACTGAAATTAACAGAACCCCCTATGGTGAGTGCTAAAAGCTAAAGTGTCTGAAACAGAAGCGAGAAAGAGAGATTTTAAGCAAAGGTAGAGATGTCTCAAGAGGAGAGCGACTCCTTGTCAAAGATATATTCACCCAGGTTGGGTCCAGCTCGGATACTGTTGGCTAGGTGATCTCCCAACTCTTTGATTTGATCAGTCTGTGCTTGGAGATAGTCATCGATAAAGGCAGCAAACTAACAGCAGTAAAACAAGAAAGGAAACTGTGATGAATAACCAGGAGGAGGGGTGGGAGGCTGGGATGGAGTGGGTTGGGATGAGGTAGAACAGGACACGATAGGTGGGGTATGGTGAGGCAGGATGGGTAGTCAGCATGGGGGTGGGGTGAAGGGGAAATGGAAGCAGTGTAACCCAACATCCCTCCTCAATGCTAAGCAAGTTTATATGCTGTCCCTTTTGTGCAAAGCCAAAGTCGTGTCTTGTAAACGTTTCCACATCACTTGTGTAACAGAATGTCAATGCTTCGTGTAGGGTCTCCACTGCCTCAAGGTTGTCACTGGCCATCAAAAAAGTGATGAGTCACATATGAAACTGATGATCACTGGAGAAAAATGCTTTACCCAACCGGGCTGAAAGGTTCACAAAAGTATACTGCACCAGTGCATTTCAGGATTTTTGGAATGCTTAGCAAAATAATCCATCTAAGAAAAGCAGAAAGAAGGCAAGGGGGTAGTCTATGTTTGCATACTCAGGGTACGTTTGCGTGGTTACTCCAGTTAACATGAGTAGGATGCATGTATGCATTACACTCGGGTGCAGGAGTATACTCCCCCTCTAGTGAGAGTATGCTCTCAGTGACCAACGAGCCATACGCCAGCCATTTGAGTGCTCAGGAGTATACTCATGTTAATATGAGTAGCTTGCTCGAACGCACCTCAAAGTCCGAGGGTGGATCAGGGCTCATAGCCCATTCCCCGAAAGAGCCAAAAATATTTTCTTTAAAAAAGAGAAAGCCAATCTTTTGGTAAACTTAATTTCTCTTCTTATCAAAAGCATGCGAAAATTTCTGAACTGCAGCCCCAATCCCAAGAAAAACCATAAAAAGTAACACTGAAAAATCTAAAAATCCACCCCCTCCCCGAAAGAAAATGGGTTCTGGCTTCATTTCAGTATATATTGGACTCTTTACCTTCTCCAAAGTGTGTATAACTGTGACCGTGTCTGGATACCTGTCTGCACACAGAGACAATCAGGTAGTAGATTCATAAGCCATCACCATGTGCAAGTGTCATTCCATGCCCAGCCCTGCACCTCAGTTTACTAACACATTCAAAAGAGCCCAAGTAATTAAGAAATTAGCCTACTTGTTCATCTTTGGCATTCCCAGCAACTTCATCGAGCTCCAGCCAGGATTTGTTAACATCCTTCTCCAGCTGCAGGGCTGCCTCCAGAGCCTTCTGGCCATTGGAAAACTCTTGAGCCGGAGACTACAGAGGAGGGAAAATGAATGAGGGTAACACAAAGAATCCAACTCGGTGGTCGTCCCTTCCCCTTCTTTCAGGATGGAGGGGTGCATATTTTAGCCAGTGATTTATTCTAATGTGGGTAGTTATGGCTATGTCCAAATTCCTTGGCTATTGCTGAATATTACACATGATGTCTAGGATAGTCTGCAGCCACTACCCATAGAGTTGTGTTTAATTTCAAACCACAGCCAATGAATCGAGTCAACATTCATTATCCACATCCATCAGACAACAATCGTTTCCTGTTCTCAGTCATGTAAATTTTTTTACATGCACGTTACAAGTAAGCAACTTAGGGCATGAAAGAATTTTGGCAAGGCTTGTAAAAATTTTGAGACAACATTTCTGGGAGGTCTCAAGTGATGGTGGGAATTGTTCCTGAAGAATCTGTTGCTTACAAATAGGCTTACATTATACTGGAAGTAGGCATTTTTTTTTTGAAAAGCAAATTCACAGGTATTTTCAGACACTTAGATCAAAAACCTGATTTAATTTGTAAAGGGCACGATTTTTACTCATAAGCGTACATACGCGTAAGAGTTTGCTCAACTCAACCTGTTTAAAGACTCAATTTTAGCCACATTTTCAAACACCTGACTTACTTTTATTATTAATGTTTAATAACATACACTTTTCAATACACTTGACTCAAAATGTAAGTTTTCTCCACTGAAGAAGAGCGTAAAGTTTCACAAAAGGCACACAGAGAATGTGCTGTTGGTTTTCTCCACAGCCTTGGGGAATCAGGCCTAAATAATTCATCCATTACCATGGATTCCATGCCACCAACCACTTAGATGCTTGACCATACTACATTGTCAACCACCCGACTAACAAGTTCCAGCTGGGTGTGCTTTTTGAACAGCCGTGAACCCGTCACTGACAAGTCAGCAAACATCTGGGGTTCTACGAGTACAATGATGTCTATTTCGAAGGATGGACTTAGAAATAGACTAAGATGTTGAACAAGAAAGTATCAAATCCTATTGAGACTAAACATGTACCTTGATGTCTTGAAGACAGACTCTACCTCCCCTCTTGTTCTGATAAGCCATCAATTCCATCGCAACATCACGCTTGCTGTCTGACAAACCCTTGCAGTATGAGTGAAAGCCTGGAAGTGCTACTTCAGATCTGTTAAAGTAACTGGCCTATTGGCAACAATGGCAAAGATTAGGAACTACGGTACATTTCTGTTGATTGAACAGTGCATTCAGGGCTGATAACACATTTGACAATGGGGAAATGCTCAGTTTCAGAGGCAGGAGGAAAACTCAAAGTAAATATTCCAGGCAAAATGCTCAGAATCAGTTACGGACTGAAAACCCAATCCAGACACCGTCCAACAGTAGGTGGGTTTGGACCCTGGACCACATGGGTGGAAAGCAAGGGAATCTAGCCATTGCATGAACATCAACCTGACTCCCCTGCAACGTACATATACAAGAGATGTCATGCTGTTGTTGGGCATATGCATTCAGCAGCCTTTCAAACAAGTTAACTCAAAACACCTTGAAATATGCTCAGTTCAGAATGCAGTTTTGGAAAAAAAAATTGGGAATTACTGGAAATATCTCTGAAACTCATTTATTTACTCATGTAACCTGTAACTCACAGGACTTTCCCGACACCTGGCAAATGCAGTTGTGCAACGAAGAGCAAATTCTACACTAGAACTGGAGACTTGTCCTGTTATGCTTTGTTTTCAGTCTTGAATAGGTAGCTATCAATCACAAGTGCCATGGCTAAGCAGACTTGCTGGTTTGCCATTGGCCTTTGTGAAGCACAGCACACACAATACTCAATAGCAGGGTGCTATACAATGAACTTCATTTGAAGTGGACAACTGTGGAGTAACCACAAATGATTTATTCGAACCATGATATAGCGCCCTCCTATGTTGTGTCCATCATACCCCACATAGGCTAATGGTCCAGGGGAGGTGTGAGTTTGTGTTTGCATTCAGTTAGGAACCCTCAACAACAGAGGACGTCCCCAACTCATCAAGGGTCCCCAATTGGCAATCACGTACAAAACATGCGACTGATGAGAGCTCTTCCAAAAATAGTTGAAGTAAGAACAAAAGAGAAGGGGTCAAGAACTGCAGGCAAATACACACGCATGCACGTGCATATGAATAATACAGGATAATTTCACACATGCCAGGTCTACAAGTAAGTACTGAACTACAGTACTTAGTCCCACCATGGAGCTATCCCACACTACTAGTACCACTCACCCGTTGGGTCTATATTCATGTCATAACAATTTGACACCTCCATGAATTTTGCAGATGATGTGTAGGCCCTGGACCTAGCATGTACATATTTGTATGATGCAGGTATGTGGACTGGACACAAGTAAAAAAGACACAGACATGTGGTCTTTATATCTAAAGATCAACTTCAACCGAATCCATGTTCAAGTTATAAAGTGAAAAATGGAATTCGAAGATTACAAAGTTCAATGCGTCACATTACGGCATCGATCAGACCACATATCTATGTGTCCAGCGACCAACAATGGCGACGTGACTAAGATTGGAGTTAATCTCGCTACGCCAACATGGCTAGCTTGCTTACCATTGCCAAATACACATAAGAGCTGTACAGTTGAAGGTTTATTTGTCGATTGATCCCTGATTCACATTCACGAGAGAAGTTCTGTCTGATAGCTGTTGGATTTTCCATTGTTTATTAGGCAAACGAAATATTTTACACACACAAATATTCCTTATTTGTTTCGATTTACCACGGAGGCAGGATTTACGCTGCGTCTTCGACCTTATGAAGCCTATCTTTGGCCAGCACACAAAGCACGCACTTGACACACTTCACTTACATAAGTCTTGTAAAATAGCGCCCTCATGTGACACCACAGTTGAATGACTCCCCCTTCAAAGTTTGATAATCTCAGTGTTTCGCCAGATTCTCAGTATTGAGAGGGAAAACAAAAATAATTATATCATCCCAAAGTAAGAAATGAAAAACCTTCGGGCAAATTGCTTTTCAAAGATTTCTCGCTGGTTTAATAAATCGAATCCTATAGGCCCTATGTAACAAATTAGTCTTTGACTTGAAGCTTAATTCAGGCCTTAAAAAAATGTTTTCAAATCGCAAAGAATTCTGAGTGGAATATAAACGTCATAATTAAAAAAGAAGCCATATGTGTGCGTGGACAGTGTTTCCATATATTGTAATGCGACGTATGTATGGTCCATAGTTCCGCCATTGATAGTAGACCTGTTTACGCGCGACCGCCAGAGTTGTCCATTGTTCGTGTTCGATTGTAACAAAGGTCAATTGGTCGGAACAAAATGAGTATGCAAAAAATTCCTGACCTTGGTGCTGCAGACGTATGTCAATTGAACTTTGCCCAACCTGAAAGTTACGCAGTTTACTGACTTTAAATCAGTTGATAGATATTATCACGGTCAAAGTAATTCCCACTGACTCATCTGTCAATGTCAACGGAATACAAACAGTGGAGCATTAACCGTAACTAGAAATTTCGAGAATATTATAGTTGACAGTCACGCAGAGCACCATGCGCGGGTTTTTTTATGTGGACAACTGTTCTGACCCCTACGTTTCCTAGTAATATGCATATGTTCAACTCCCTTCCAAAATGAGCCATGAATTCGAATGCAGTCAAAGTAGTAACGTGTTTTTTCATTACACCTAGTCATCATGTACAACGTGTCATCATTCATGATCCTCGAGAAGTCCCTATACTATTATTGGTTTCTTCAAAAACGGAACAAATAAACAAACAAATAAGACAAAACCAGTGCGAAATCCATAGATGATATTATATTCCATTTAGTTCATATTACACCGTGACCCCGGGAAGTTAAAATGACAAGACGGGATATGAGTGAGGGGAAATATCACCCTGTTCGGATACCTATGCCCGCCTGTCTTCAGAAAGTCACAGTTCTGAGAATAATATCTGGACCTTGAGATTCTTTATGTTAATGTCAATTATTAGGCCTATGTTCGTATGTTCGTTCTGAGGTTTGCACAGATTGAATGTAGTTTTGAAGGGTTTATATTATTGGTTAGAAAAGTAAGAAAGTTAAAAAAGAAATGATTCTAAGTATTCTTCGCTTTTTTTAAACAAGAGTTTAATTCTTAAGCCGATCCAATTGATCCATAGCTCTGTACTGGTTTTGAAATGATTTGAAATCATGTATTATGCAACTGTTTATCAGAAAAAAAGAATTATTTGTAAAAGCCGCGTGACAAGTTGTTTTGCCGAGTCACGAAGGCTTAATATAGCTCACACGTAATCCTGATGACCAATCAAAATTCACGGCCTATTTTGCATACGCTGGTATATTTACTTCCCCCACAATACCGTAGTTTTCTTTAAACACGAATTTAATAGCAAATTCTCAAAGAATGAATATATATTTTTAACCGTAATCAAAGCAAAATTATTGAAGTCGGCAGAATGATTTGGAGATCCCAGTTCGGTGGTTTTATTTTTAACCTGTGATCAAACATTTACGAAATGACCTGTAAGTTCAATAAAATGAACAGCCAGCGCCAAGAATATATAACCGCGTGGCGCAACTGCGTACTCAGTACAGTTTCGGAATTGTTTGTGCTTTCGCAGTGTCGGAACCAGGCAGTTCTGTTTCGGTAAACTAAAGAAATTTTCTAGTTTCTTACTTCGCAACCTTCAAGAAGAAACACCAAATCAAGTGACAAGATGGCAACCATCCGCCAAAACTACCACGAGGAGAGCGAGGCTGGAGTCAACAAGCAGATCAACCTGGAGTTGTACGCGTCCTATGTGTACATGTCTATGGTAAGCCTGATTATGTTTCCCTTGTCGGCCCATGGTTTTTCAATCTCCTTTTCCACTGATTTACACCGCATTGTGCTCTACTTTGCAGCCCACCTTCTCCGCAGTATTTATCTCTGTACTACTTACATAGATTTGGTGTGTAGTAATTGGTGGTTATTTTCAGCGAGTCCTGAAATCTTGCCTGAGAAAAATCATCCGATAAAAATGTGGTCGATGAATGGGGATGCTATCGCCATTTATAGCATATCAGCACATCGAGTGTGGAATCCGCCTGAGTCACGTGTCACATCTCGTGACCCTTATCAGTGGCGTTGTTACTGGAGCGGGGACGGTAGGCCCCTGATAATGAAAGAATTGCCTTCTTCAAAGAGAAGTTCTGAGCCTTGTTAGAGTATTCACAACGATCCATGTTAAGCGGGTAAAGGTGGGGGTATTTGACCCCATGGCATAAGATGAGCAAGAAATTCGATTAGCTGTGTAGTTTTTGAAAGCACTTGGTGGAATTCTCCTCTGGGTCGAAAATTCCTGCACTTGACCTAAAATATCGAAAGGAAGCTCGGGCTACATGTATGAAAGTTGCAAACCTTAGACTAGTCATGGTCATGAGGGGGTAATAATGGTAGTTGATTGTGATTCCATCATTCATAACAGACTCTCCCACCAGAGTTTAAGCTTAGGACATAACTTCTTGGAATATGGATATGAACAGTGCTTGATGCGGACAGTACGTGACGCCCCTGTGCACTAAGCTACATGTATGACACTTGTTTGAAAAACCTTGTTTGAAAAGACTAAATGGAAGCTTCAGAATTTTCTCAGCTAAATTTCACTTTTTAGCAAATGTTATTACGTTCTGATGGCTGTTGTAACATTTGAAAGAAACTTTGAGTTGTCCATATATTGAACTCAATCCATACCCTGTATTGTCATGCGTTGTATAGCTGCAAAAGTTTGAAATGCTCATATTTACATTTCTAGCTTATAAATGAAATTGGTGACAACCATCAAAGTGACAACTGAATTACACACTTAATCTGAAAAGAATTCCATGGACGCCTGTGAATTTTCCCTGCGGTGACATATTAGCTGTGTGTATGTAATAAAACATCTTAGTCATGAAAATACGGAGGAATTCATGTAGAAAACTTAATTTTTCAGATTGAGTCTCTCAGGATTTTTACGAAGGTTGACAAGCAACATTTGCGTATGGAACTTTTCCCCTTGATTTCTTATGTTTCACTTCCGTGCCTGAAATAACTAGGGTGACAATCAATTTTGTTCCCGTGTGTAGGCCTACTACTTTGACCACACCACTGTTGCTCTGCCTGGTGCCCACAAGTACTTCAAGAAAGCTTCGGATGAGGAGCGCGAGCACGCAGAGAAGCTGATGAAATTTCAGAATCAGCGTGGCGGGACTGTCGTGCTGCAGGACATCAAGAGGCCTGAGAACGATACTTGGGGCACCCTGAAGGATGCAGTGACCTCTGCCCTGGCCCTTGAGAAGAAGGTCAACCAGGCCTTGCTGGACCTGCACAAAGTGGCAGACAAGCATGGTGATTCCCAGGTAAGGACAACCTACAAATCTTGGGCTTGTGATTAATCAAGGGTGCCTCATTAACCGTAGTTGTGTACATGTACCAGGTTGGGTAAAATCAGCTGTTGTGTGCTGTTTTCTTTAAATCAGCTATATCTTTGGTGATCGTTTCGTCACAGTTTTCAAATTTCTCACCACAGAGTAAAATGTAGGTCTTACGAAAATCACATTTGAAGTTAGTCTCTTTTCAAACGCTTGATTTCCTAGTACATGTATTCAAAATTCCTTTCAATTCACCAATGCTCCTCCATGAAAGAGGTTATAGAAGTTAAAAAAAATTGTTTATTTTGTAACAAGTTTGTCTGTTGGTGAAATGCTGAAATTTGTGTGACTTCTGGTCTCTTCGTGAAAAAGCACACAGCACACGCTTTTGCCCTAGCGAATGCCAGGTGCAACATTGTTACATTTGTATAATTTCTGGAGTTAAATTTGTCTCTTCGTGAAAACTACAACACGATTTTTGCCCATGGCTAGTTCATTTTTGCCAACATTAAATCTATGGAAGACAAATTTGTCTTCCATTTTGCCCCCAGAGATCATGATTTGAGTGATTTCGGTAGATGAGTAAAAAAATTATTACATCAAGCTGCAGGTATTGCATAAGAAACTTGTAAAAAATTATTATTTGGGGCCAATTTGTTTCTTTGTGAAAAGGGCCACGATTCATGGTATAGCCCAATCGAAACTGCAAACCTCAGGATCTTGAGATGTTGCAATTGGATTAGCGCAATCTTGATTATTGACATGTATTGTATTTTAAGAAATGGATGAACTTCAAGATACTACTGTGAAGTTGATAAATTTATTTCATCCATTTCTAATCAGCAAAAACATTGGAACAAATCTGTGTCTAGATTGTTCTTGTGCAGATTAGGCTGAATGAAACTACATATTGCAGTTATTCTTGTTTTCACCTTAGATGTGCGATTGGATTGAGAACCACTTCCTGACTGAGCAAGTGGAGGCCATCAAGGAGCTGGGCGATCACCTGAGACAGCTGGAGCGTGTCGGGTCATGCCTGGGCGAGTACATATATGACCGCGAGAGCCTCAATCATGAGTAGATCTGGTGGCTGGTCCCTGGACTACACCGCAGCCGGTTAGCTAACTCGATATGGATTCGCTGACACTTCACTTCATGGCAATCTGTGGACATCAAATCAACTGGTGACTTTGTTGATCGCTTGGTGGATGACGGTAGACACAACGGATGTTTGCTTGATATGCATTAAGATTCTTCGGTTTACAATCCAAGTGACCCTTGTCCGCCATCCTTTTGACAGGTTACATGGTTGATTTCGTTGTTAAATTGGCTAACTGGCCTGCTACATAAAGACAGAGGCATAGTTGTAGTAATAGTAGTAGTTAATAAACCCTTCCTTAAAATTCATAGTCTTCTCGCACGACGACGTAACCCGCATAATTTCATACTCCAGTTATCAAGAAATCCTCATATATTGCAACTCATTTGACAATGTCAGTCTTTCATAATCTGCTCATGATGTAGATTGTAAAATCCATGTCTTATATTTCTCAACCTTTGGTCATCTTTTCCTGTCTTTAAATGAAATTACATGCAGTGAAAAAGCCTCTAGTCACTTGAATAAAGAGAATAAAAACTCCCCTCTATTGAAACATACCACGCATGCGCAGTCAGTAAAAGCGTCAGTTTATCTGATGCCCAAGCATTTAAGTAAACCATTCCAAACCTATATTGAACATTGAGCACAAATTGTATAAGTGGCACTCCATGAAACTGCCAGTGGCAACTTAAGAACTTTTAACATGGGAGAAATAAATATAAGAAAAAAAAGTACATAATGGTGTCCAGATTTTTTTGTCGGGTATCACTCGTCGGGTTTTATGTAGTGTAGTGTCCCAACATCCTCGGTGGAAACAACTTGTATTCTTAATTCTGGTTCTGAACTTACTCGATTCACAGGGCGCATTTACCTCCAAATAACCAATTTCGGTTGTCATTGTGATTGAACGATCTCCATTCTGGAGATCGATCGCTTAAACCTGTTGCTTAAGAAAAATCCGCCGACAGCTATTGTCAGAGAAACATTTTAAGATAACTCTTGTTTCTGAAGCCAATTCTGATTGGTGGCACGCGAGATTGCATAACATTCATTGGACGTTCGGTTCACGTATTAATACATTAATAAATTTAAGTGAGCGAGTTCGTACTGGTAACGGATAATACTCGGTCTGCGAGCAGAATTTGTGTATCAGTTTGTTCACATTATAATCTTTGACGCTCCTATTTACCCTGCTCTCGGCTAATTTCGAACAGAACGTGGGCCTCACTTTCGCCCGACGTCGACCAAAAGTGTGACGTCCACACTCGGGTCCAAGCCCTCATAGACACCCGCAGGTTGGTTGTTATTTTTTGGTAGATATTATTTTGCTTCAGAATCGTATTAGAACGAAATCTCACATAATGCTAATTCAAAGCAGCGTTCAGTTAACCTTTCAGCGCCACCCCTCTCTGTGCTACCCCCTTGAATACCAATCCACAGAAAGATAAACTATTAGCTCAATACCACAACCTGATCACGATCCACATTCTTGCATACTGCCCTCTACATATTGTATGGGCATAACAAGGCTTTTATATTGACAAAGTGGACTGTGGTAATGTTACCAAAAAACACGGAGACCAACCATGGAGGAAGGAAGCTAATCACCTAATTTGAATGAAATATTTTCACAACAGAATTCCAAAATGTGAATAATATTCTTGGTTATCACTAAAAGAAAAAAGAACGTAAAGAGTAAACTCTAAGAGAGGTCTATTAAAAAAAAAGACACAATTACCATTATTTGACAATACCAAATTTACCCAGTCACGGTTTAATGTTGGGAGACAATCAGCACCATACTGGCCTGTTTCTAACATTGAATGGGGGGGGGCCGAATTGGGATTTTTTAGTCAACTGAAAAACACACACAAAAAAATAGGCAAATAGTTTAAACCAACTTTATAACAAATTCACTATTTAAGTACCATTCTGGCTCGCTTCTGTTGCAACATTGAACGGGGTCGGGAACTGGGATTTCTTGTCAACTGAAATAAACATTTTAAAAATGGCTAATAGTTGACCGATTAAAGGGATCGTAGGATTGGAAATTCTCAAAGCATCCAAGGACACACATTGGATTATCACTCGTCTTGAAAATCACGTGGGTTTGTTTTCTCTTAGCTTTGGTGCTGCAAACAATGCAGTTACTCTCTATCTTACTTTTGCATGGATAATGCTGTACATCTTCCGAAACACAAGGGCTGCTGTTGTGCACATGTGTAGCACTTCAACTCTTCCCTATTCTATCGACAGTAGACCTTGGATCAAATAGAGTCAGAAAGGTCAAGATTGGACAGTGTGTGACCCGTGAGCGAGCGTGTACATGGTACACATTGTTGCAGTGCGAGATCATTTCCTCCCATGCCTATCGTACTCAACTATAGCATTTGGTTTGTTGATGTAGCGATAACCCGTGGGACCTTTTTTTTTTACTACGAATCTGCTCATTAGTTACACTAGTTACCATAGTTTTCTAGAGTGTCACACGCTTTTTATCCTGCTATACAACACACAGTTGTCCTGACTTTTTATAAAAGTAGGGTTCACCTTAAGCCAAAGGAGAGATATCCTGACCCCTTGAGATTGACACACATGAACTGCACTAGAAGCTAACCATTGGTGCGAACATTCACGTGGAAAACTGTGGAAATGAACGACATCTTCATCAGGTTGCTCAACTGTAAATTCGGGTGTTGTTCTCAATGTTTCCGCCGTGAAGGTCGGGCTTTGCTTCACCTACGCCGGTAATTTTGATCGTTTTAGACTTTGACATTTTTAAACCAAAATGTATTCGACTGGTCATTTTTATCCGTATTGTATAACAGTCGCCATCTTGCCAAATCTTTCTGCTACGTTTGTCATTTTTACTGGATCTTCAGTGGCCTGTTGGGAATATTGGTTGCATCACTATTCTTGATTATGTAGGCATATTGTGTTCATTGGCCATGTTGGCAGGAACTTCCAGCTTGAAGTTGAAGGTAGGACATCATGTATCCCTCCAATTTCTGGACACCCAGCAGCATTGCTGCTTCACAGCCGAAGTTTCTGATAAATTATTGATTAATTGCATGCTTGAAGAGTACTATTTTACTGACTCTTGTGTGCCAGCATACAGCAGTGAGTACTTGCACAGTACATAGTTAATGTCCCAGTACGGCATGCATGGACAACAGTTACTGCAAACACAGTGCTATATTAGCCAGATTGCAGCCTCAGAAAGTGTGAATTTACTGACGTAGAGGGTTTTATCTTTCACGATGCTTAGTTCTCGGCCTCCTAAGATCATCACTGCTGTCAAACTTTCTGCTAGTTATTATCTGTGGCAGTGTGCAAATACAACCCAGCCCCAAGGGGGCTAACACTGTAGTGACCACGCCCATCTTCCCCTGCATTACCAGTATGTGTTGTAAAGAAGTAAGGGATGAAGACAAAGTTCTTGGGCGTGATAAATGTCGAATTGGACGCCTATTGAATGTTTTGATGTCTCCAACGACGATTATCATAACTATCAAATTGGGTCGTAATTTGGATGGAGGAGGAGTGGCTATTGCTATTCGTAATGAGTATGCTAGTCTTCCCTGCCCTGAGTTAGACTCAAATACAGAGATCATCTGGGCTCAAGTCCTTCTTCAGTCTGGTAAGACACTCCTGATTGATTGCTACTATCTTGTGCTCAATTTAGTGAATGGATGTGTCTTGATTCTTCGCTTCAAAAGATCTCGCAGAATCCACGTAGTGATCCAAATATTATTCTGACTGGGGAGTTTAATGCCAAACCATCGATTTGGGTGACGGAATCCAAACAGCGACTAAAACTCATCTTATTGACATTGTCATTAAGTACTTTTTATGTCAAAATATAAACGAACCTATATACCCGCACTGCAGACGCAACAGTGTGACTTGTTAAACTGAAAACTGCTACATCGGAGTCATGGGAGAGAATTTGGGCGACTAGAAAGCTCGCCAAACGGGAACTTAGATATGCACTCCAGAATTATGTAGCAAGGTGGTTGACAACTCGAAGGAGGACCCCCAGAAGGTTTTGGAAATACAGCGGCGGGGGCGGGGGCAAGGTGTACCCACTCTGAGAACTGATGGAGTCAATCGTGTTACCGATAAAGAGAAAGCTTGTACTTTGACCAAGCAATTTAAGTCAGTTTTCACAACAGAACATGTATATAAGATTCCTTTTTACTTATCTGCCATACCCAATGTGGAGAATATCACCGTTTAAGTGGAAGGGTGATGAAATTGTATAAAAGAAATCGATGGTTACTAAAGCCAGTGGCCCGAGTGACATTTTGAAACAAGCTGCTGAGGATGTAGCGTCAGTCTTGTCTCAAACATTTCAGCAATCTCTCGATGAAATACAGTGATTTAAAAAGGATGTCCATTGCTGAAAGAAATCTATGTCATTTTGAAGTTTCATGCAGATATAAAAAAATGAAAAAGGAACAATCCCCCCCCATACAAAAATGTTAGTTTTGATATGTGGTTTTTATTGAATCCTGTCAAGTGCTGTTTTTAATGCTATAATTTAATGCTATTTTCTATAAAAGTCGTTGATGGGGGATATAGCAATTAAACATGGCGTCGTATTACCAAATCACGTTCTGCAGTTTTTAAATAATCGTTTTAATAGAAACAATCCATAAGATAATTGTGTGAATATCCCTACAAAAATGATTTTACAGATGACCTACACATCCGGCATTATCATACCTAGGAGTTCGTGCACGTTTGTTTTCTTATAATGTGCTTACGCAAGAACAAGAACAACGGCACAAAGTCCTGTAAGTTTATTTTTGAAAAATTGTTCACGGTACAATTTATCCGGGTTTCCTGTTTAAAGATTAGTTTGGGCCTAAAGATTACCACAAAATATTTCTTTAAATTTTCTCTTGAGTACAAGTACACCAAACCACAAAAATCAACATCCATTAGCTTTTCGGCAGTGAGAGGTCACTTTTTGGCACTACACGTTTTTCTTTCTGGTCGGATGTCGAGGGAATCCAAAAGCGAATGCGTCTTTGGGCCCATTCAACATGATGCGGAGAAATACAATCAAAATCTCACTCACGGTCCCAACATCCTTGCTTTTATTTGCTGGTGTTGTTTTCTTAGGGTTTTAACGATAATATTTGATAAATAGATTTACTGAATACTTTCTTCCCTACTCACCCATTCTTTGTTTTCAAAAAGAAAAGCTCAAAAAGTTACACCCCCGCTTAAAATACGCCACAATCGGGTAGTTTTCAGTTTCCATAAATTGATAGGCTAGGAAATAACTTATGAAAGGTTACCAGAGATGAAATAAAAAATACAAAAATTGCAAATTGTCACATTTTGGCAGGTTATTTTTCTTATTTATGGGTTCCAGAAGCACGCCACTGTATCATGAGTCACTATTCGGGCTGCGCAGACAAGTATGCAAAATAAGAGAAGCTTGGGGTCAGTTTGTTTCACACGGATCCTGATCGTGATCAGTGATTTGGTTCACTGCCACCAAAACCAACCTAATGGACGGAGCAAACCAGCAATGGGATCACTGATCGAGTCCAGATCCGTGTGAAACAAACAGGCACTTCTAAAGATTGCCATTGCAACCTGCGCATGTTCAGTATGGTAGTCAGCCGGCATCTGAACAGCATAGGAGACACGTGCATTCTGCGGCTCGTCATGTGCTGACATTGTGAAACTCAGGAACTGAGCCATCACGCGACGGAAGTTGAACCGTATAATACTTGCGAAACTTGGCACGAATTCCGAGGCGGCTACGTGCCAAAAACCCTGCCACTTCATTGTGCAAGGGAAAAATGCATTGTATCGACGGGGTTGACAGGTTCAAGGACCCTGGCAAGATCATGTTTGTATGACAGTGTGATAATAAGGCACATTTCCTTTGTGGCGGCTGCCAGTAGGTCAGATCAAAACTTCAACATTTTTCAAGACTGCAGTTCAAGGGCACATTGCAATGAAGTGTCACATTGCCAGTGAAGTGACTTTTATCTCCTGCAAAGAGTTACAAAACCACGCCGAGGCTAGATTTACTTGCAAAACAAAGGATACAGGTAAAAAGCTTTTGTAAGAGGCGATTTCTTGCAAGGGTAGAGTTTCGTTCACCCCTACCCAGTGGGATAAATTTGTGCCCAAATTGGGATATGAGGGGATGATGTGCCGGCCATGAAAATTCAAAAATCGGGAGGGGTGACATTATGACTTTGTAGCATGCAACCGATGTACATCTGTGGATCAGAATTGTATATTTAAGGCTTTCAATTTTTTTCTCTCTTTTGAGTGATATTAAATGCATTTCAGTCGTGTAGGGAGGGAGAACCCCTGCTGGAGAATGGTACAGTCCAGACAAGTGGTAAGGACTCATGTTCACTCCCATTCGACGTGTGGAAATCAACAACTTCGACCGTGCGTGGCGGTTACTTGACCAGACACTCGTGAACCATACGGGATTGTTCTTACAACCTCAGGCTACCAATCCTCTGTCGAGTCTTCTCGTTTTTAAGACTTCGTTTGCACAAAATTAACAAATGATCACATTGAAACTCTTTGCATGTGCTCTAAGAGGGCTTAAACCGAATAAACCACCACAGAATTGTGAAAGGAAATGCTACATAAATTTGAAAGAAATTTTGCCTCAAGTGGTTGCTGAGATGATAAACTATTTCCATATTAATACGATCTCTGGGTACTTTTTCCACTAAATTTCTCAATTTTAGAAGTTTTCCCAGACCAGTGAGACAATGCATAAGACAGGCCAGAATCTCAATTACACAGTACAATCAGTTTTATCTGGCTAGATTATTTTGTTCAACTGTCATAAGTTATAGGTTACTTATTCTGCTCAGCGCCATCTACGTGTTTTTCGTATTAACGCACAAAAAATTTCTTTGATCTTGTTATCTGCTGCGAATTTTGTCGATCACCGTTGGATATGGTCTATCTGATATCCAAGCTTCACCTTCGCTGGCGATTGTTAGACAGCTTGCCAACTTTGTCACCTGCAGCTGCGGAGGCTTCGCTGGAACTTGCCAGTCTCCTGTAGTCATGTAAGTTACATCAGTCTTTCCTCCATCACAAGATTATCCCAGTGGATTTTAGTTGAAATTCCAGCCTTCTGATCTCAACCCGGTGTAACGGTCTAATTTATCCGGCGTGCTCGGATTTCCGGAAGAACGCGCCGGATAAATGAGCACGTTTCCGCGACGTGCTCATTTATCCGCCGTGCTGATTTTTGCGGTTGCGTACGTACATGTACATGTAGATGTACGTTGCGTCGTCAGCCATAAGTGCGGACGAAGGACAGGTATCCACCGTCAGTACATATCCATACGCAACCTCGTTCTCATTGACCGATCATAATTCCGACGCGCACGCAGCTAGTGTATTTGTAGTCGAGGTTGTCAGGAACTCAGTGTTACCTTAGGAAAGCCTTGAAATGAGACTAATCGAACGCTTCAGCGTATTCGCCAAGGCATTCTGGGAAAAAGGTCAAGTTCCCGCCACGTTCCATTATGTCCACGCACAAACAGTCCATCAGTGACGTCATTTCACTCGGGCAGCCTCCAGAAACCCGCTCACCAGCCGGGCGGGGTAGTGGTGGCTGACGCCAGGGCAGGCACGAAGATCAAGTGATGGCTAAACGAACGCTCTCTTGCAAGTTCGACTTACACGTGTAAGCTAATCGAACACATCCAAAAGTTAACAACGGGACTTACTGCGCATACGTTCGGATGCTAGTTTGGGTTGCTCTGCAGTGTTCGGTTAATGCCCGGAGATCCGAGCATGCTGGATAAATGAGACCGTTATACGGGGTGAGAGTACTTACCGAGACATTTCACCGCATTCTACACTCCACCTCACGTAAGACCATGAGGTGCACTGTGCTAACTATGCGTGAGCGCATTGCCAGCCTAGCCGGCCACGTATCGCGCACGTTACATGTACATTGGGTGCGTTCGATTAACTTCCCTGAATACACCAGTATTACACCGAGGGAAGCCTCGGAATGAGGCTGATCGCTCCGCTGATCGAACGCTGCATTGTATTCGCCAAGGCATTCTGGGAAAAAGGTCAAGTCCCCGCCACGTTCCATTATGTCCATGCACGAACAGTCCATCCGTGACGTCATTTCACTCGGGCAGCCTCCAGAGACCCGCTCGCCAGTCGGGGTAGTGGTGGCTGACACCATACCAGGGCAGGCACGAAGATCACGTGATGGCTAAACGAACGCTCTCGTGTAAGTCTGACTTACACGACGTGTAATCTAACCGAATGCACCCATAGCGACCTGTTACACGCGTACGATGTGCATGCACATCTACATGTATATGTGCACGCGCGCGCATGTGCGTGTGTTCGTAAGTAGACGTCACTTCAATTTAAACCACGTCCACTGCGCAGTCATTGATCGCCGTTTACATGGAACTGGAAGTTAATGCGAAACTTCAGCGGTCGTCCAATAGACGTTTCACTAATAAATTCATAATTATGCACGCATGCGCACAAATGGCAAGAGGTGTGAGCGGGTCATTGAAAATGTACAGGGGTGCGACTTTCATGATCGTATCTCTTATGTTTCTGGCTTTGTTCATTTTTTCTTCAGAAAATCCCAGTACACCGTTGCATTTGTTCTCAAATCTAAGCCGGATTTTTAGTGCTCTGTAAAAAAAGACTATTTTTCCTGTGCGCACGGAACCGCCGTTTCTCAGTATGGCCCCTTCCATCATAAGTAGTATAAATTACATCGTTAGTGTTCTTGGAGCCAACGTGTGCATTTGTAAGCTCGTAGCGCACTGATGTTCATTGTAGTATACATGCACTGTACATGTACGCACATAGCCTGCCATTGGCATTGAACCTGGTCATAGCCGAAATCGAAAGAAATGATCGTTGTTGTGTTTGGGGTCGAACAAGACAAAGTGCAGTTTCCAAAGAGAAAGGGATCTGGGGATTGTGAATTTAGGGACCCCAAGTTTTTGTCATTTAAAAGGCTGTGCAAAGCTGGTCATCCCCCAATGGTAATACTGTCTGAACTGCGCTGACCATGGCTTTTTGGACATTTCAAATTGTAACTTGAATTAGCAATGTAAATTCGATTCCACTATTTGTCATGTGTTGGAGCACTAACAGTTTCCCCAGTTTTAATTTAATTTCTCCCAAAACTCAAAACCCAACCCTCTTTTCTATCAATCCCAACGTTATAGTTATTGAGCATGATGGCATTGTCATCTACCTAGGGGAATCCAAATGTTAAAATGTCTCCCTTCTGTTATTGGAGCGGGGTCCCTAAATTCACAATGCCACTGAAAGTGCAGAAAGCACTGAAGCGATGTACGTACGGTACATGTACATGTTTATTGTGTGTACATTGAACATGAGTGCGCTATGAGTTTACAAATGCACTGCAGGTTGGGTCCAAGAAGACTATGTAATTTATACTGCTTATGATGGAGGGAGCCATACAAAGAAACAGCAGTCTCGTGCACACAGAAAAAATCACGTTTATAAAAGCTAAAGAGCACTAAAAATCCAGCTTAGAGTAGAAACTAATTGCAAAAACGATTTAATGGGATTTTCTGGAGAAAAAAATGAACAAAACAAGAAACGCTGAGAGAAAATTATTATCAAAGGCGCACCCCTGTACATTTCCTATGGCCCGCTCACACTTCTTGCTGCCAAGGCCATTTTGTGCGCATGCGTACACAATTATGAAGTTATTTGTGAAGATGTCTATGGGGGAGCTTGCGAATCGTGGCGAGTCTGCGTGTATGACGAAGTTATGGTGGCCCTGAAGGGACATAAAATTGACAACAAGTTAATTTTTGTGCGACGTCGTGAATTTGTTGTCGCGAATAAATATGAGAAGTCACGACTATTCGTGAATACTTTTGCAACGTCGTAAATATTTTCATGACATGTCATGAATAAATTTACTAGTCGCTTTAATCTTTGTTGCGAATATTTTTTAATAACTTGAAGGTTTCGGTATGTGCCCCGATCGCAAAGGCTGTACGCAAAGGCTGTCCGAAACAGGCTTCCAGAGCTACCGCTAGGTTTGTTGTCTGTGCGTCTCCACGTATTTCCAATGTGGTGAAAACCTAGGGCTTAGGGAACAGCTGGAACAAACCATGTGGAAAGGAACTTGTTTTCTTCGCAATGTCGTTTCCCTATTTAAGTATCTTTCTCAATGCACAGCTTCACTCTCCGCTTGGCATCGCATGTGGACAACGATGCAATAGTACACGTGAATGGTCACTGCACCGCTGTACATGCAGAATGTCCAAGGTCTGGCTAGGCAGGCGTTTCATTATCGTCATGTATTCGCTAATCGTTATAGCGCACTTTACCCAAAGCTAATGGAAAAATATTTGCGACTAGTGGAGAGAGAAAATGTACAACATTGCGAAAATATTCACGACGTTGTCGTTAAAATTCTAGACGTTAACATTCGCGACAAGTCCTGAATTTTGATCTCTCTTCGGGGCCACCATACCAAGTCACTGACACTCATTTTCGCGGCATGCTCGGATTTCCTGTTAGTACGCGAACGCTGCCGATTGATCCGAACTGCGATGTGCAGTGAATCCAGTTGTGGTTCACTTGATTGGTTTGCTGAGTTCCTACATCATGATCACAGCTCGCAGGAGTTGGTGCAGATGACCGTGCGCGCCTGTTTTCGCGGACAATCCGTTATGGTCATGGTGTCTATATTTAGTGTCAGGTTTGAAGGATACGTCACAAGCACAATCTTCAAAGAACAAACGATATCTGCGAAGTGGGTTGTATCCCTTTGGGACAACGGAATCGGCAGAGAGGAGCATTAGGTCCCAGGTAGGGACCACAGTCAGGCAAGGGACCGACTTGTGACTATATCTGGCTCAATCATGAGCCAATATTTGTAAAAGCGCCTGCTGTTCGTTGTGGTTAGTCCGTCAAANTTTTAGCATACACGCATTACGTTTGCAGGTAATACAGAAAAATACACCACTTGGTGCATCTGAGATGCATAGAAAAATGTGTCTCAAACAACCTTTCCATAAAGTCGCCTCTGTATTATTCGACTCCTCATATTTAACATTGGACCGCGCCAAATCCGGAACCAGACCCCGAACGTACGTGATATGCGACTGGGAAAACATCAGATCGGGCGAGTGGGCACGTTGTGGCAACGTGCTTACTTATCCGGTACGTTCTTCCTGAAATCCGAGGACGCCTGAAAATGAGACCGTTACACATGTACCGTACATTATTGGTGCACGCACGATAATTATGTACATAATACATGGAAACCATGCGTCCGAGCCGGCTTATGTGTTCATGTGGTTCATGCATGTAAAGTACCTGTCAAACTGGGGATATAATGACATTAAGCAGACCTCGGTTTCGGTAATAAACTTCATGATAACTTCCTGTTCATTTGTCCACCTTCTGTTCGTCTTCGTTCTCGAGTTACTGAATTCTGACCTTTGCATGGCCGTAAGATGATGCGGGATAAACGGAATCAGCGCAGTCCATATGCAAACGTGTCCGGTTGGGAAGAGAAACTATTCTAGCGGAACTTGAAGCCATCAGCAAATCTAAAACCTTCACACTTTTCTCCACCACAACCCACTTTTGAAAACTTCAGGAAAACCTTGAACTTTTTGTTTCGACCCTCAAAAATCGCATCAAAATGTAAATAAACTACCGCTTACGAAAACAGATTATTTATCACTAGTAAAATAAGTTTTGACCACTGTTTCTCATTTTTTTTTCACAAAACACGTGACGGAATGGCTTTATCTGACTATAAAAATGTTTTTGGGAGGAATTTTTATTTTCAAGAAGAGAAAATAAGACGTAAATTTCATGAAATGAAGCAGCTGCTTGCCGGCCTGGAACGAATGGACCTTCCATGAAATATGCAAGTTGGACATGCGCGTGCGCACTACTACCACTACCACAGGTTGGCAAACACGGCCGTCAACACAGTCGGCAGTGTAGACTACCTGCTAGTAACCATAACGTGGAGTGTTGAAGGTCAATCAAAACCGTAGGCCTATTAGTATTACCACCATTGCCTGATACTTGAGCACTTTCTTCTTGAAACTAAGTGAAATTTGAGGTTGGAAAGTAACAGTTCCTTGTCTTTAAACTCATGTCAAACTATACTAGTACAGAAACGGCGACAGCGTGCGCGATGAAGTTTGTTACGTCATGGATTTCAGTAATATTGCCAACCAGCGGTAGTAATGCGCATGCGCCTGCCTTATTTGCACATTTCATGGAAGGTCCATTCTCGTGGCCCTCATGATACGTATGCGAATGACCCTAAAAATGGGACATGCGCAGTTAATTATTTCCCTCTAACATACCTGGACTGTGCTGGTCACTTTGGGCAGTGTATGCTTCAGAGTGAACAACACATTTCAGCACAGTATATCTTCTGCCACCATTTTCAGGTATGTGTTTTTAATATTTCATTTTTGAGTAAAGTATTGGAAATGATCTATTATTCAAAACCCCAAGTACACTATAGTCAGGTGGCCCTGAGGCTGTTCATCTAGACGTGTCTGGGTGTGTCAGTGTTTGTGGGACCTAAGGAAATGACAAGTCATCTATCGTCAAACGCAAAACAGATCACATCATCCAATGGCATCAAGCACAACTCATCACCAGCATCAACCAATGGCACCCCGACGTATACGCAAGGTCATCGAGATCATCAAACACAAGACAGTTCCCAAAGACATTAGCATCGGTATCAGCGACATCTGGCGCCCCATCTTGTCCAATGGGTCTCCTATACGGAAACTTCCCCCAATCATAACCGGCCGCATGGGTCTCCCATACCCCAGGCCAGATCCCACACACACCGACTCCGCCTTGATAAGCAGCCTCAGGTCCACGTACAGCATCCAGAGACACTTCCCGCCTTAACGCCTTGATGCAGCCAGAATCCCACTCCACCACGCCTCATCGAGCACGCATAGTACTTTAGCAAGCACTCAAGTTGGAACTCAGCAGTCTCCCGACGAAGCGTAGAGTACCGGTTCTTTTTAGAACCACACACACTCCCAAAAGAGACAATCCACATGGCGTCTCATCCACAAACCTCCCACCTAAAATTAGTATTAAATTAATTACCCAACAAATACCTGTTAAATTTTGGTTTTAGACGGAAGGACTGAATACACTGTACATACATTTTCATTGAATTCTGCCCAAGCATAGAGCGACGACTCAAAACCAAGTCGTTCTGGTGTTGTTCCGAGCGCCTTCATGTGACGATCTTTCACCTGCTAGCAGGGCTAGTCGTTCCTGTTTCAGACGTCGAACTTCTGCCCTACTTAATTCAAAATTTGCTTTAAATTTAGTTTGGCGGGACCCTGGAACACCTGTTTGAAACGGTTTTTTGTAGCTGAATTTTGGTTTCACGTGGCTGAGTTTTTGTTTAACTTGGGACTTGTGTAACCGAATTTACCTAGATTACGAGTGTCTCTGCATATCAACGGCTATTTTCCATCGTTTTTAAAACTGTAGGCCTAATCTTTTAGTATAGCTTAGTGAGTTTTAGCTAGGAAAAGTTAGTTTATTGTCTAAAAAAGTTGATGTACTGTACATGTACTGCACAAGGTGGTTGAGATAGGCTTGCTATGTATATGAATATTCGGTAGCGCAGCAGTGCCTGGGTGGACATTTCATTGGTCACTCCCTTATCAGTCCCTGGGAGTCTGGCCAGTAGTCGTTCATATTGACGGAAACAGGCGCTTTAGAAATCTAGCCTGGGTTGGAGCGTGGTCGGAGTGGTTTATTGCTATACAGCATAACCACCCTTATCTTTGGAGGCAAATACAAAGCTAAGGTATGCTTCAATAGGAGTGGAGGCCCAAAACGATTGTTAGTACTGTTTCCTGAGAAGCCCATTTTGTACCAGGCAACTGACATATATTGTATTCTGTTTCTAAAGTAATGTGGATAACTAATGTGTTGGTGCACTTGAGATACTGGTTGCGTGTAGTTTGTTGATGTAGTTGACTGGCATGTTATTTTATCAAGTGACTGTCTTTAATTAAAACATTTGCATGTTTAAGGGCTTCCCAGCGTAAAAGAATCGTGTGTTAAACTTAAAGATTAATTACTGCCGAAATTGAACTATTTATAAAGTGGTCAATTTGTAGTTTCGAGTCGAGCAGGATTCATATTAAATTCAAAACTTAAGTTCCTCGACACTTTGCTTACCAACCACGGGTCATCGGATATCACCGAAAGAACTTAGGTCTTCCTCAGTTCCTGTGTGGTATTCGTTAGTGCTTGTGACATCGACTAGTGATTTGACTTGCTACATGGACTTCAGATGACGTGACTATATTCATGTAAAGCGAGACATTTCAATGAAATGCTGAGAAACGGAATCACAACAAATTTGCAAAGGTATAATGAAGACGTGTCTGGAAATTCTAGGTGTTCAGCCTATGTCCTGCCAACATCAGTCATTTCTGCCGTGTCATGATACCCCGGTACGCATTATCAGACCAGATTTCAGTTTGAGGCTGCAGCTATTTATCATATTCATGTTAATTCTATCTTAGGCTCCCCCCTAATATTTTTTATTGTGGGACAAATAGTTAACCATACAGTAATATGATGTCCCTACAGAATAACGTGTTTAAACATACAAACACACTTGTAGTTGAATCGAGCTTTAGTGCACAGCGAGGCCAATTCTGATTTTATTTCTGACAACAGTTCCTAAAATACCTTAGATGCCACCCCTGTTGCCCCGTGGCGCAGACGGAAAACGCAAAGTGTGAGATAGTTTGTGCTTTCGCAGTGTTGGAACCAAGCAATTCAGTTTAGATACATCCCAAAGTTTTAGTTTTTGCTCTCGATTTCTATGTATAACCTGTGAGACGAAGCACCAAATCAAGTGACAAGATGCCATCCATCCGTCAGAACTACCACATCGAGAGCGAGGCTGGAGTCAACAAGCAGATCAACCTGGAACTGTATGCATCTTATGTGTACTTGTCCATGGTAAGACCACCGATTTTGATTTTCTTTAAAGTGTGGCTGCAAACAAGTTGTTTTATTACACACCTTCAAAATGCACTTTTATATCTCAGTTAAGCTTATTTTTCAACTTTGCTCCATTGTTTCAAAGGGTATTTTACTACCTTTTTTTATTTTATGCTTATGAAATTTTCATACTCATGAGCAAATCTGTGATGTCATCAAGGAAGAAAGTCTCAATGTTACACTGTAGACAAAAATGTGTTGCATTTTTGTAGATTTTGATAGAATAAATCGTCTTTTTTGCTCAGTGATTCCCTTTTTTATATGCATGTTTATAAGCAAGCATCAATCCCTTTCTCAGAAATGTTTTCAGCAGGTGAATTCTAGGTCCAAAATTTGACCAGAAAATGTACTGAACTATGACATCCCAATGTGACATCAAGGCAACAGTACCCTCTGTTGTCCAGGAAGGCGTGGATAACTTTAAATATTTTAAAAGCGCACTTTCAATAAATTTAAACAAATATGACTGTAAAAGAGTTTTCACACACTGAAGAAGAGCACAAATTTGCAGAAAACTTGTGTCTAAGAAAAATTTATTGCAGCTACACTAGTCGCCATCATTGTCAAGGTTTGTGCTTTTACATGGATATTATCATTTTTAAAATAAAAATTCTTATGTATTTTTTTAAAAGAATTTGGTTGGTATTGCTTCAGGTTGACACAGCACAAATAAATTCTGTAACGTGTAACCTTCACTAGCTTGCATTCATTTCGGTACATTTCAATACACACAAAGAATAAAGCCAGGCACATACAATGAGTGGGGAGCAACCTTCGGATTCGCAACTAAGATGTTGAGAATGGGGTACTTGAAAAATATACTTCGAAAGAAAGGAAAACAATGAGAGCAATTTTGTGCAAGTGGAGGACTAGAAGTTGAATATAAATCATGCAAACAAGACAGGCATAGCATCGATCATTTCAGTCTACTGGTGGAAGAAACTTTTTATTTATTTTTCCTCTAAGCATGTTCGGTGGTTTTTAATGTGAGAAAATACTGTCAGCATGTGAATTCAGAGTCTTATACACAAAACAAGGCTCGTTGTTTCAGAAATAATAATAATGAAGGGTTTTCACTTACTTTGGCCCCATTCATACTTAAATGGAACTCTCTTCTAAAATGAATTTCAAACAATGCCTGCACACAGCAGTTAATACAGACGCAGTCATGTCAAGTCCCCATAGTCACGTTTGTTCCGGACCATTATGTCCGCAGGGCCCATTATGTCCGCAAACTTTTTCAGGCCCATTATGTCTGCCCTATTGTGTCCG